TTGGATCAGAGGAGATGGCTGCAGGTCTTGTATTGGTGTCATTGGATCAGAGAAGATGGCTGCAGGTCTTGTATTGGCGTCTTTGGATCAGAGGAGATGGCTGCAGGTCTTGTATTGGTGTCATTGGATCAGAGGAGATGGCTGCAGGTCGTGTATTGGTGTCATTGGATCAGAGAAGATGGCTGCAGGTCTTGTATTGGCGTCTTTGGATCAGAGAAGATGGCTGCAGGTCTTGTATTGGCATCTTTGGATCAGAGGGGATGCCTGCAGGTCTTGTATTTATTTTGTTGAATCAGGAAGAGGGCCAGTAGATGTTACCACAGATTTTGAGGATCTATGGTCTTTGTGGACTTGGTAGTCACATAGTAGATACTCTAATGGATTCTTTGGGATATATTGTGAATAGCCAGCTACATTTTTCACATTTATTTGGATCAAGGGAATAACATGATCGGTTTTACCATTATTCTCATTGATCCTGGGTATGCAGCAGACCTTGTATAAATCAGGGGAGCTGCTTGAAGGGTTGCCATGACCTGAAAGGATCAATAAAGTTGTTCTGGCATGTCACAAGAGGACATATTGACTGAATTGATATTGCCGTGGCTGTGCTGGTGTTACGGAGTACTGACCCCTGCAATTTTTAAGCAATGGCAATCAAACAAACAAGAGTCCTACCACATTGTATTTCCAGGCCAACAATGTAGTAAAACCCTAAAAGTAGAACCAAGCCCCTTAACTTAGGTTATGACCCAAAGGTTGGGCATCTTACCCTTGATGCACACAAAAAAAGGTTATTAAATGTTTTTCAGTGTTTTATTTTTATTACAGACCATCATTAGGTTGGTAGGTGGGGTTGCTTGCAGCAGTGGAAGTAGGGACCCTGATTCCATTTTGATTCCACTCCCATTCTTGTAGAGCAAGTTACATAAAAGCCAAAATGTGACACAACACTCAAATCATTCACTGATATGGACTATCCCTCTAAATATCCTTTCCTTAATATTAAACCCAAGTGGTGTACTTATAAACCTTTTCATTTTTATTAATTAATAAAGTGGATATTTTAAAATGTGTACTGTCAAATCTTCACGTTATTTACGATATTTGCGTTTCTCTCTCTTTTTTTCATATCCAAGGGCCAGCCTATGGCAGAGGGATATTTATCACTGAGACTGTGACTCTCTTTAAAAATGTTTCCAAGTGGGTCTAAATGTCTGTTATCCTCCTGAACTTTCCCTCTTCCGGCACACATCACGCTCTTATAATTACCTCTTAGCGTCCTTGGCATAAGAGGATCAAGTGTGAGCCGAGTTAAACCTTCGGGTCAGCAGAGATTACCGACTCTCCGCAGAAACCGCGAGCTGAAAAATGGGTCAATAAAGGGAGAACAACAAGAAGAAGGAAATACTAGATGATTAAAAATACCAAATGCTTCATATAATCCGGCGTATTCCATCCATGACGTTCATAATAAGTGTAATAATGCATAGAAACCACATTGCACCTTTTACTAGTCAGACTGATAAAAGATAGTTTTTTGGTGGGTTTTTTCCACATCTCTCTCTGAAGATAGATCCAGGTTTGTCCCAAACATATTTAATTTCACTTACTGTTGTTCGACTCTTTACCTCTGCTGGTCTGTCCCAAACATTCACTACTATACTTTCTAAGGATACTCTTGAATGCTCTCCTGCTAGTTTAAAGGGTAATTACATCCTCCGTTTTTTTGCATAGCTCTACTGCTAGCAAGCAGTAGAGCTATGCAAAAAGTGTAAAAAACAAAACAAAAATAAAACGCTGTAACAAAGGTTAAAGTGACATTAAACCCTCAGATTTTTTAACATAAAACAATACTGTAATGTGTGTCTTACTGTAATCCATGGTTGTTTCCCTTCTCTTTGCTGCTCTTCCTTTTAAATCCTCATGTCTTCTCATGCTGGGGGGATAACTTCCCTTTTCAGCTCAGGGACTCTTCCTGTAGTGCTGGCTCAGGTTATAAACCCATACAAACTTATACACAGACACCATGTATCCATTCCTGAGACAGGAATCTGCTGCAAAATAGGAGTTCTGCCCAGCATGAGAAGAGATACAGATTTAAAAGGAAGAGCAGCAAAGAGAAGGGAAACAATCATGGATTACAGTAAGGCGCACATTACAGTATTGTTCTATGTTAAAAAATCTGAGGGTTTAATGTCACTTTAATACTCACCCGTGTCTTCCCCACACGCTCCCGTCTGAAAATGTGAAGATCCTCGGGCTGCCGCAAAGCATCTTGGGGCGGGCGCATGCGCAGTTCACATTTTCGTCCGGGACACGAGGAGAGACGCAAGGTAAGTCTATGGACGGACTCCGTGGGACAGGAAGTGCCAGCAAGGACAGAGGAGTCAGCGCTGGATCGAAGACTTGACGCAGCGCTGGAGGGACAGATGAAAACATCAGGAAAGAAGAAGATGATCAGATTAGGAGACATCATTTAAGGTAAGTGCTTTCATTAACATTAGGGGGAGGGGAAAAAAAAAAGACTTTAATATCACTTTAAGGTCATGTCCCTGTGTTTTTGATCTTAGCTTCACACGGAAAATTCTGCCCTCCTGAACCTTATCCACACCCTTCATACCCCCTTGTGACGCCACTGCTTCATGTATTTAAATGTTTTAGTCATGTCCCCCTTTCCCCTTCCTTATGTACTTATTAAGTTCCCGCAGTCTCTCCCGATATGTTTTAGCCCTCAGACCAATGTGTTGTCCTTTTCTGGACTTCTATCTTATCAAAATCTTTTTGTAATGCATGTCTCCAGAAGTGGACATTGTACTCTAATAGGGTACCGGCAGCTGGGTCTCCTTCTTCCTGTTGATGACCCTTCCAGTCATGCACCAAACAACTTGTCATGTACCTGGTTGGAGACTGAACGTGTGAGGAGGCCTCCCTTGCACCTTGTGTCACGAGGACTCTGGAGTTGGGGACAGAGTCCAAGCAGACAGCGAGTGGCACGGGTGCCAGTGGTGGTTACACCGTGCAAGCGGGAGTCCAGGTGCTGGTTGCAGAGCAGGGCAAGATCCGTAATCAAGGTCAAACGAGCCAAGGTCACACCAGTCGGGCAGGCAAGGTACAAAGGGATGAGGTAAAGGCAAAGTCCAGTAACGATCCAAGGTTAGGGGCAGGCAGCAAACAAGAAAGGTCAAGAACCAATCCGGGTCAGAAGTCTGGCAATACAAGGCAAGGAATCACAGGAACACAGGGGAGCTGAAAGACAATCCAGCAATTTGGAGACAGGCAGGCTGGGTTTAAATAGTGTGGTCCATCAGCACATTGTGTCACTTCCTGTGCGCCGTTTGGCACGCTTTTCCGCGGCATTTCCGTGGCGCACACGCGCATGCACACAAGTGCTTGTTTTCCAAAGGTATGGAAAACGGGACCTCGCACATGTGCACTAACAGATGGTCTCTGACAAAACTCTACTTACTTTCCCTGCTGCCTGGCCACACAGTTTGCTGACTTTGCAATCATCTAAAATGCCCCCACCTATCGATTGTCTTTTTCTTTCTTCTACACCATGGTTCCACGTTGAATGGAAACCAAGTAATCCACCAATGTGTTTTGGGGTTGTGGGAGGAAACTGAGGCGCTCTTTGAAATCCTATGTGTTAAAAGTATTAAAAAAACACCATGAAAATATTATCCCCGGTTGGAATTAAAGTGAGGTCCCCATGACTGCATGGTACAAGTGCTCGCCACAGTGTCCCTAATCACACTTCTCATCCACCTCATATGTGTATCCAATGGGTGACCTTGGCATTATAAGCAAGATATTTGATGGGCTTCTTTCCACGGGCTTGTATAAGGGTACAGCAAGCTTCAAGCATCTTCACTGAACCCTTTAAGGCACTGACTGAGTTAGCAATGGGACTTGCCATTGCTGACTGGTTTAGAAGGTACAAATTCCTCAAGCTTGCCTCACTACTTGGTGAAACCAGGAACATGCATGTACGTATCACGTATCAACACATCTCCGGCACAAGTAAATATCTATGGCTCGGTGTGTGAAGCCAATATGTGAGCTGTTCGTCCAGAGGCCACTCTGATAACAATATTTATTTTTCCTCCTATAGGTGGTTCTATAAAAATCTCCACTCAGCTGGCGTCACTGTTTGCCCTTTGTTGACTTTCTGCCGGAGCCAACAAGGTTCCTGAGCTGCCATGAACCTAGAGCCTGCAAAGACTGATCTTAAGTCTGCTACCCGCGTGATGGGAGGGCCCGCAACTCCCAGGAAAGGGCCACCTAAATTCAAGCAGAGGCAGACCCGACAGTTCAAGAGTAAACCTCCAAAAAAAGGTGTTCAGGGGTAAGAGTCCAACACTCTTGTGTAGCAACTAGATCAATTACTAGATAGTTTGTTATATGCAGGAAAGCATTTACATCGGAGCAGATGGGTATGGCTGGCAGAATTCAATTGTTATTGCAATGGTAAAAGACATGACTGGAACCGTGGGACAGGAAGTCAGGAATACAATCCCCCAGATGGGCACATCCAATAAAAATACTTTTTTAGAAGTGTGGGGACGGGTTTAAACGGGTGTCAAAACAGGGTAAAAAGAAATGATGTAACTAGGGTTGCCACCTGTCCAGGATTCACCCGGACAGTCCGGGTTTTGAATGCTGTGTCCAGGTTTCATGGCAGCAGAAACCCGGACACAAGATGTCAGGCAGACAGGGGCAACCAAAATTAAGATAGGGGCTGCTGGCACCCCACTAAAAATAGTCTTGACTGTGATATTTACATATGAATGGGTGGCGCTATTTACATATGAATAAGCCGCGACTCATTCTCCCCCAAAACTTTCCGTGCATCTCTAGAGTGTTCGGGTTTCACTGGAACACAAGGTGGCAACACTAGATGTAACCCAGGTCAGCCAATCAGAATACAGGAGCTTAGCGTAGTCAGAGTGATGACAAAACAATCGGTAATATATTGGTGTGGGTTATTGTGTACTACTTCTCTATGTCTTTGTAAAAAGGACTTGCGCTCAGCAAAATAGATCAGAGATAGTGGATGACATTCGCAGTGTTTGACTGTTTTCATCCAGACTGGACAGCAATGTTTACAAGTAGTTTCCAATGGCCGAGGCCAACCAATGTCATGATGAGTCAAACTGGCGAGAAAACCATATCCAAACGCCCTTCTCTCTGACCACTTGTCCTGCTTTTCTGCTCTGTAGGCAAACACATGCATGGTCAGCTGTGGTCCTCCTAATTCTATGTCCTGTTGACAGTCCTATTCCTCCGGCAGTCTATCTTATATACTTCCAAAATTACAGCACTGGAAGATCTTAATTTTATTGTGCCAGGAAGTTATCAAAAGGTGGAAAGATTGGCTTCTGTCACCTCATTAGAAAGCTCAACTATTCACCTCTGAGTATTGTTATCTTTCTGTTACAGGTTTGGTGACGACATTCCCGGTATGGAGGGTCTAGGAACAGGTAACCACATTTTGTTATTTCATATTTTACATCACGCTTTCAGGAAAGACATTATCACAGACAGTGTATTAAAAAAGACGGATAAACTATGCACATAAAAGATTTGGGTTGGGGGCGTTAGGTTGAAGGTTAGGGTCAAAGTTTAGCTTGTGGGTTAAGAAACAGAGGTAAGTTTAGGGGTTGTTTTGATGATTAGAGGTTAGGTTGAAGGCAGGGCCGTTTCTAGGGTCCTAGAAGACCAGGAGCACCTCACACGAATTAAAATGTTGAGGGGCTGGTAGGATACCATGATGACCAATTTGGATCAAATCTTAATCTAAAGGTGGCCATACAATAAACACTCCGAAAGTTAGGGGTTGGGTTGGCAATCAGGAGTTAGATTAAGGGCTAGAATTAGGGTTAAGGTTTGGACTGGGTATAAGGTTAGGTTTGAGGGTTGACAATTAGGAGCTATGGTTAGATGTTAGATTGAAAGTCAAATATGGGTTGATAATTTGGGGTTTGGTTTAAGGTTAGGGTTACCATTTGGGCTATTGTTTAGGTTGAAGGTTAATGTTTAGAGGTAAGTATAGAGGTTAGACTGAGGGTTAAGGACTGGAGGTGAAGATAGGTGTTGGGTTGATAGTTTGGGGTTAGGTTTAAGGTTAGTTTAACATTAGGGTTAAGGTTGAGGGTTTGGAGTTAGGTTAAGGGCTAGCATTAGGGTTAAGATTTGGGTTAGTAGCTAAGGTTAAATGTTAGATAGAAGGTCAAAGATTGGAGGTAAAGATGGCTGTAGGGTTAATAATTTGGGGTTTGATTTAAGGTTGGGGTTACCATCAGAGTTAGGGTTTAGGTTGAGAGTTTATATTTAGAGGTAAGTATAGAGGTTAGGGATTAGAGGTGAAGATAAGCATTGGGTTGATAATTTGGGGTCAGGTTTGAGGATAGTGTTAGCCATAAGGTTTAGGTTTAGGGTTTGGAGTTAGGTTGAAGGTTAATGTTTAGAGCTAAGTATAGAGGTGAGAATAAAGGTTAAGGACTGGAGGTAAAGATAGGCATTGGGTTGATAACATTGGGTTAGGTTTAAGGTTAGTTTAACATTAGGGTTAAGGTTGAGGGTTTGGAGTTAGGTTAAGGGCTAGCATTAAGGTTAAGATTTGGGTTAGTAGCTAAGGTTAGATGTTAGATTTAAGGTCAAAGATTGGAGGAAAAGATGGCCGTAGGGTTAATAATTTGGGGTTTGATTTAAGGTTAGGGTTACCATCAGAGTTAGGGTTTAGGTTGAGAGTTTATATTTATAGGGTTGGGGTTTAGGAGTTAGGTTGAAGGTTAATGTTTAGAGCTAAGTATAGAGGTGAGAATAAAGGTTAAGGACTGGAGGTAAAGATAGGCATTGGGTTGATAACATTTGGTTAGATTTACGGTTAGGTTAGCATTAGGGTTAAGGTTGAAGGTTTGGAGTTAGGTTGAGTGTTGATGTTTAGAGGTTTCAGATTGGGTTAACAATAAGGGTTAGGTTGTTTAGGGTTAGTCATTAGACCAGCAGAGAAGAGGTAGAAAGACAGTCAACAGGATCAGCAATAGAAGAAAAAGTTGCGTGTAATTCTAGCACAGGGGTATTTTTTGGGGGCCTTCATTCTCTGGTGATGGAAATCCAACCCACGATACTAGAAGGGCTATAGGTGGAGAGCTATACATGGCTTCAAGATTATGGTGGTAGTGATGACAATTTTGACAGCTGTGCTTTGTTTGCAGACATCACAGTCATCTGCCCCTGGGAAGCCTTCAATCACTTGGAGCTGCACGAATTGGCCCAATACGGTATCATCTAGAGATCGCCGACTCCGTCCATCCACAAGCCTGTTTTATTATTTTTGTTTCTTGTTTTTTTTTGTTTGTTTTTGTTTCTTCTCTGGCTGGCCACCGCAGGGAGATGTAGTTTGTGTAGGACTCAAGGTAAAACTACCCAACTCTGCACCTCTGACGACTCGGAGTTACCCCC